TGGTATGTAGAAAGGGAGGCACTCACTCAAACAATGTGGTATGTAAAGAGGGGGCACTCACTCAAGCAATGTGTTATGTAGAGAGGGGGCACTCACTCAAACAATGTGGTATGTAGAAAGGGAGGCACTCACTCAAACAATGTGGAATTTAGAAAGGGGACACTCACTCATACAATGTGGTATATAGAAAGGGAGGCACTCACTCAAACAATGTGGAATGTAGAAAGGGGACACTCACTCAAACAATGTGGTATATAGAAAGGGAGGCACTCACTCAAACAATGTGGTATGTAGAAAGGGGGCACTCATCAATTAATGTGGTATGTAGAGAGGGGCACTCACTCGAACAATGTTGTAATTTATAATGAAATACAAGGTTAATCTGTTTTCTTTGTTATTTATATCATCGGCTGAAAATTTCAGGACATTCACATTCCCTTCATCGTAAAGATTGGCATGTATAGATGTAATTTATAATTTCACTTTCAATATGACTAAACTATTCCTCGGAACTAGAGTAATATATACTACGTCTTAGCTAATGAGACTGACACCTAACAGTCAATAGGGGGAAAGAAGTGATATAAATAATCATGATTTACTGTTTTTACAATGATGTTGTCTCTACCTATGGATGGATTTAGATTATGCTTGTCCACTGAACAGTGAAGGGCAAATGTTTGACTGATTAAATGTTTCCCACTTATACAGCATGTAATATAACCATACATTTGTAACAGAACATGCACTTTTTTTCTGTGCAGCTTTTCTCCCCCTGTAGCAGACGATCTATCTATAAGGTGTTGGAAGGTAAAGGCAGTGACTGTTTAAAAGGTGCGGTTATTTTTAAGAAATGCACAAATATTGTTTATGTTATGCATAAAAACTGTGTGCACTTTGCATCAATTCAATTCAAACTTTACCAGTCTTTGATTGGCTGAAATTTAAATTTCTCAGCTTTAAGTACAGTTCTACTGGGCTGATTAGAAAGTAATTAACTAAATAAGCAGGGTTCATAGTTTGGTGAATTACCAAACAGTCTCTACAGCTGTCAAAATAAGACTTTTATATCGTTGTTAAGTACAGGTTGCGGGTTTAAATTTCCAGAGATTCTTTGGTTATGAATGCTGCTACTTTTTGCACTAGAACTGACAACTTTCATTTGGAGTGTATCTTATACCAAGTATCTGAATTATTTCTGTATTGTTTTGTTAATTTATGGACACAGAGAAGAATCCCTACTTGGCCTTCTGTGGTAATGGTCGTTTGGACAGTGGAGAGGAGTGTGACTCAGGAACAAGGCCAGACGACTGCTGTACAGACAAGTGTGTCCTAACGGCAGGTTCAGACTGCAGGTAAGTCCTGTATAGACAGGTGTGTCTCACCACAGGTTACGACTGCAGGTAAGTCCTTTACAGACCAGTGTGTCCTAACGGCAGGTTTATACTGCAGGTAAGTCCTGTATAGACAGGTGTGTCCTAATGGCAGGGTCAGACTGCAGGTAAGTCCTGTATAAACCAGTGTATCTCACCACAGGATTAGACATCACTACTTATATTGAATTTAAAAGTTTTAATTTCTCTGAAATTTTGGTAATTTAGATGAAATGTCAAGGGGAGATAATTTTGCTTGACTGAAATGTGGATTTCAGAGTGGTGTCCCATCTCTAATATGCATTGTGTACTTGAATAATTGAAAGATGTCATTGATTTGTTACCAGTTGTTGGAAAATTCAAGAATTCCTCAGAAAAGATTGAAATTCTTAATTTCATTAGCCAGGGGCCATCCGTTCTCCCTTGGGGAGGGGGTAAAGTTTACTATAGTTTTTAACATTTTTGGGTACATTTTGCCCATACTCAGTATGATAATATTCAAAGTTAGTCAAAAATCATCCTTAATGGAAGGAGTATCAAATTGTAAAATTGAGATTCCTGCCTTAACCCTAGGGGCAGGTGTCAAAATCGACACTCAACTACAGAACTTGCTTTGTATGGTCTATCAGATCAGATCATCTGTATCTTATTATGATAACCATTTTGAATTATCTCACAGCCCATTCAACAAGGCGTGCTGTTCTCAGTGTAAGCTGGCCCAGGCCGGCACGATTTGTCTACAGATGGTGGATGACAACTTTGACTGCAAGGGCAATGCTCAGTGCAAGTATCCTTTTTGAGGACATCTCAAGACAGCCCAAAACAGACACATTTAGATTTTGATTAGTTTGAGATTTGTCTGTGTGCATGTTTCAGTTAACAGTATATACAGTCTTGTTTTAAAGAATGGAATACATGTACGTGTTCTTTCTTTAAAGATTTCATTTTCAGAAGTCATTTTGTTAACACAAACTTTTGCTGTTTGATGGAAAGTTTTAACTTCAGTGAGTTAAATCATTTACAGTATATACCTTCACAGTATTGCTATTCACTGAAATCTGCAACCACGAAAACTACAAATAAGTAAAAATACCGTATTTGACCACAGATAAGCCCCCTCTCGCAAATAAGCCCCGTCCCCACTTTGGCAAATGTCCTGGGAACAGGGTGGGTGCCTGCATTTAAGCTTAGCTATTGAGATCATCTGCCATACAACCTTGAGGTATAATGCCTCTTATTTCATTTGTCGCTTCACTCACTGCCAACATACATTTCATGGTGACCTTATCCTAATTAGTCTTGTGTATGTCTTTCTGAATCTATGAAGTGTGGAAGCCAATTAGTAGCTCTCAGAAAAGAAAAAAAAACTGATACATAAAAATGTATGTAATATTTTAGGTCAATTATTTTAATGAGCTTTTGTTGAGTTAGAAGTTTATAATGCAGATAAAATCGAGATGATGAATATTTTGGAATAAAAATCCGATAATGACACTGAATCTTCTAAGGACATGTATGGAACAGTAAGATAAATGTAATAATTAAAGTAATATATAATCAAATACTGTAAAATCATTAATTTTCATGGGACATTAAATTTCGTTTATTTTGTGGATAACAAAAATCCACGAAATTTAAACCACACGAAAACATAAATTTGGTATGATATAGATAGGGGGGAATCAGAAATCAGCGAAATATAATATCCTTGAAACAGGCTAGTATACGAAAACCAGGAAATTTTAACCCCACGAAAATAAGTGATTCTACAGTATACTGCATGACATTGTATAGAAAATTTTCCTTAAAGTTTCTTAGTGGGTTCCAATATGACTGTCCTCCACCAAGCAAGAAGCCTGATAATACGTCTTGCCAGGACGTGTAAGTGTATTTCACTGTCTGACCTGATCTTTCGTCCATGATTCTACATTCCATTAGTAATTCCTCGTTGTCACTAATGATGACTTCTATCTACCGGCGGCCTTGAATATTTAGTTTTCTATGAATATGCCAATTTGGTTTTTCTTTCACATATTAACTATAAAGTACTTTTAAGACAAATATTATCATAGATAAATCTGAAATATGTAAATTGGTTATTTAGAGCACCTGACAATTTGTAATCTTAATCAGCTGTTCTCCATTTTTTTCAGCGGCAAATGTATTGATGGAAATTGTGTAGGATTCTGTCAACAAATGGGCATGATTCCTTGTGTGTGTTCACCAGGTAATTAAGATATTCACATTTACCAATTCAATACTTACTCTAGTTTGAATATATATTTAATTATTATATGTAAGGATAATTATTTGCTAACATAAGACTTCTATATAAAAATGCATGTATCTTTTCTGTGAAAATTGCATTGTTTGCATGAGACAAATCAAAACAATCCAAAAAATATCTTTGATGTATGGTCATTTGGGTTTGGAATACTAAAAATGATGACACATACTAATGCTATAAAAACAAATTATCAAGTAGATGAATAAGGGAGATAACTCTAACTAAAATCACAGTGAAGGTTAATAAAGATAGCATATCACCTTAAGTCAAATACATATTACAGGTATAATGTGTAAGGTAGCGTGTATCCTTAACTCAACACATGTACATATTACACATATCATGTGGATACACCATTAACTATCACAAAACAAAGGTATGATATCTATTTATACGGTGTAATAAATGAGGTGTATAATCCGAGGATAATGTTAGCAGGGAAATCACTTTTTAACTCAGGCTTTAAAAAAGGGAAAAATCAAAGCAAATGCAAAACTGCATATAGTTCTATCATTTCATTATATCTGTGCTAAACTGTAAGTTCTGCCATGGAAATATTAATCATACATTGTAGCATAATTTTGATATATGTCTCTGAACTTATGAAATCTTAAATCATTATTTTCAGTTTTAAATATAGACAGGTTTTCAAAAACCACAGGTTCGATTTACATTGAAATGTATGGAAAATATGCATATAATTAGGTCTGTTTTATATAGGTTTTCTTGATTATAAAGGGTTTAGTTTAGATGTTTCGTTATGTTAGCTGATGGACTGGAAATTCAGATTATAGCTATCAAACTTTTTTGTTTCTAACAGAGAGTGGACTTGCATGCTACAGATGTTGTAAACCTACCAGCGATTCTAAGTGTGTCAGCTTCTCAGAGCTGCTTGACAATGGTCGCACATGTTACCAAGGATATTGCCAGACGGTAAATATTGAAATCATAGAAAAGCTTAATTAAGTACATAACATAATATATTATTGGGAATTCATTTGTAGTAATCAAAATTTATTCAAAAGGATGTGTCCTTAAAAAGTGAATTTGTTAGCATCAAAACATTGTATTTTCTTTCCTTAAACACCTCTATGCCCTGAAATTACTATTAAGAGATAACAAAACTTCAAACAACATTTTCCCCCAAGAACTTATAATCGCACAGGGTCAAGATATTTTACATGTAGCATGCTTTATTGAAGGATTATTACTTTTGTTTAAAAAAAAATCAAGGTCAAAAGGGTTAAATAAATTTGAGTATTCAACCTACTTCTGAATTATGAGGCCTGGAGTTTGTTGTTGGAGTGGGCAGCTAGCTATCAGATATGAGACATGGTAGTCTAGTGATAGGATGCATGCCAGGCTCGTGACCGAATGGTTGTAGGTTCGAGTCACGGCACGGCACTGTGTTGTATCCTTGAGCAAGATACTTCACTTTGCTTGTTCCAGTCTACTTAGCTGTAAATGAGTATGTGTTTGGGCAGTGCTAGAATTGTTGAATGCTAGCTGTGAGCGCCGAAATGGCAGCACTGGCTGTATGCTCCCACAGGAGTTGAGAAAGATATTGGCTGGTTGCAAAGGCCCTATAACCACGGATAATAATTTGTGAATCGCTTTGAGACGACCTATGAACTAGGTTGTGATAAAGTGGTATATGAAATAAGCCTCAAATTATTATTATTGTTATACATGATGAAAAAGTTTCTTTTTTAAGCATTTCAGCATAATTAGATATATATCATATATTACTTGCTATTAAAGGATCTGAGTCTTACTGGATAAATTTCAGTGCAGTTTTACTCTTTCTGCTTAACCTGATACAAGTAATTTGATTTTCACGTTTTTAGGGTGTATGCATCAAAAGTCCATCAAAAATTAATAAGTTCTGGAATGCGTTGGGGAGCCAGGTCATTGACTCGTTCGGTAAGTACTAGATACACATTCATTACCGGTACTTACGGTACACGCCTAGCTTGTCAGTACTAGTATTGTCTAATAGATATAATGTGTGAGGTAACAAATGATATATAAAGTGACAAATAGCTATAGCCTGATATTTTGTTATCATGGGGCCTCACAGATCATGTAGAATACATTGTTATTAAATGTAAGTCTTTTACTTTAGATATTGAATGGATTGAAAGTAAAACAAATTGCCCAAGATGATTGTTTTGTTTGTAAATGTCTTGACGGTGGAAAAATGTACTGTACACAATAGCTGTATTGCCTTCTTTACATTGTTATTTTTGTGCAGATGTTTTTATGAGGGACAACATCGTATTCTTCATCACTTTGTTTTCATTGATCCTGTGGCTGCCTGCAGTGTTAATATTTGAGTATTTTGTAAGTATGAGATATAGCTGAAGAGTGATATGAGAGGTAATGCATACGTATAACTATAAATTCAAAAAAGTCAAAACTTTAAAAAAAAAAACAATTTTTTTTAGTGTAATATGCATATTTATCTGTTAGCTACATAAAGTGCTCGACTGTTGTTAAGAAAATTGGTCGTTCTGAAAACATTTGTTTAAACTGCTATATATGTTGTCTGTTAGAATTTTAGAAATATCGAACTGTTCCTCTCCGTTTTGATATTCTGTAAAATTTATATCTTTGATTAATAGAGAAATATAAGATGAGACAGAATTTATACAGCAATTTAGCTGTTTGTGTTTGGAGTTAGAGAGACTATAGTAAGTAAATATATTGAGATATGATACATGGGTAAGATGGCTAATATACATTTCTTCATTGCTTTTACATCTATCGATGTGATTTATAACAACTTTATATATACAATTATCAGGATCAGGGTAACATGTTTTTTTTAATTTTTCTCCTTTCAGGAAAAAAAACAGTCAAGACAAGATGACATGTTGATCAATCGACAAGTCAATAGACGTATGGTAATATTTGTTGAGCATATAGTATGGTGCTTTCTGTGGTTCTTGTGAAAAAAATAACTGTATGAGCTCTTCCTCGTGGTTGTTTGTTTGGGCTAAATGTCTTCGCAATGACTAAAGTCGTATGACAATGGTTCGTGACTAGTAATATAAGAAAGCAAGAATACTTCAGCCATCGGCTTTATAAACATGACAAATGTTTAGAAATTGAAAGAATGTAAACTTTGTACGATAATCTTTTACAGAAATTTTTAGAGCATCACACTTAACACGGAGGATGTCATTAGGGACTTTTTTCTGATGTGTACCGGCCCGGTATATGATCTCATCTTTCTCACATACTTCACAGGGTGATCCAGTTGTTGCCAGGGAAAATATAAATCTATCTTACACGGGGTAGGGAAAGACAGGTGGCACGCGCTATATGATGTCATAATAATGAATTGTTGACGTGACATCACTGTATTGTTTCTGTGATGTCATACCCTTGTTACGAATGTGGAATCCTCCTACTCAAACATAGGGTTTTGTGGTTTGGGTGGAAAAACCAGATCGATGTTCATTTGTAAGTTTGTGAGAAAAACAATTTAACATGGGTCTATATATTCCAATGTAACACCACTGGGCAAGCCTCGTGCGACAAGATATAAAATCTTATATTGGGCCATCTTCTTAAACCCGTGTTTGATTCTATTAATGTAAACTTGAGATAAGGTAAACATGTGATAATATATTCCAAACCTCTACGTACAAATGTAACTGTATTCGTGTTTGTACAGAGAGGAAAAGTGGACATCCTTCCTGAAGGAGAAAAAGAGTCCTCGATCCTACATGTTGGCAGTCTCTCTGTATCAGGTGCACGGAGCTCCCGCCCTCGTCACACACTTCACAGAACATTCACAGAACCACAACAAGAGTATGCGGGAAATTCCTCACAGATTGTCAAGTCAGGTATGGCTGTGTTCGTGTCAAAGTCAGGTATATGGTTGTGTTCTGTTCTGCTCAACATCATCAGAATATTGCAATCAGTTATCATTCCATTGTTCTGTTGTGGTGTTATTGTATTTAAATTCATTTCGTTGTTATAAAACACCTGAAGACATTTCCACTCATTCAGAGTATTTAGTTCAAGTTAATTTCCACCCGTAAAGAGTATATGATTCCTGTAAATTTCCTTTCATAAAAGCAGTTGGATCCTGTAATTTCCATATGTAAAAATATTATAATCGATCATGGTATATTTTCAGCCATAAAAAAATATTTGCTTCCTGTAAATTACCATCCAGAAACAACTATTGCTTCCATTAAATTATCATCCTTAAAGAGTATTTGATTTCGGTAATTTTCCTGTTCCCTGCCATAAACAATATTTGATTCTAGTAAACTTTCATCTATAAAGTCCAGTAAATTTCCAGCCACAAAGAGTATTTGGTTATATACAGTCTGTAGTATAACATCCAAAAAAATAAAAAGAATTTGGTTCCAGTAAAGTTCCATCAATAAAATGTATTTGGTTCCAGTAAATTTCCATCAATAAAAAGTATTTGGTTCCAGTAAATGTACGTAAATGGACACCCACAAAGAGTATTTCATTCCAATAAATTTCCATCAATAAAAAGAATTTGGTTCCAGTAAATGTACGTAAATGGACACCCACAAAGAGTATTTCATTCCAATAAATTTCCATCAATAAAGATGATTGATACCAGTAAATGTCCATCAATAAAAAGTATTTGGTTCCACTAAATGTCCATCAATAAAAAGAATTTGGTTCCAGTAAATGTCCATCAATAAAAAGATGATTGTTTCCAGTAAATGTCCATCATTAAAAAGAATTTGGTTCCAGTAAATGTACGTAAATGGACACCCACAAAGAGTATTTGATTCCAATAAATTTCCATCAATAAAGGTCACAGAATAATGTATTTGATTCCAGTAAATAACCATCAATAAATTTATGAGTATTTGATTCCAGTAAATTTCGGGCCATTGAGAGTAATTGGTTCCAGTGTTTCTGAGTCTGAAGATTTCTTTTTGCAATTATTCATCATTCCATCATTATCATATGTATTCATTACTTAGCCTGGTCCGTAAACTTCATCATTTTAGATCATTCATTGTATTAAGCGGTCTTCTATAATAGCTACTGTTACTGAAATCATCGTTTATAATATATCTATTCGTTTTTATGTTTGAAGATATAAGCTGAACCATATAAACATGTAGGGTCTAGTATCAAAATATCTGTTTTTCTCTTTACAGGCAGCCAGCCTTTATACACAGACTATCAGAAAGTAAGTACACTGCCACAAGGTTGGAAACCAGGAGGATATGACCGCAAGGCACAAAGGATACCACTAACGGTAGACAATCTGTCTGATCAGCGAGGGTACAGGAAAGACGCCTCCAGTCAGAACCAGACCAGGGATCCAAAGCTACAACATCTATCAGTAGACAATCTGTCTGATCAGCGAGGGTACAGGACAAATGCCTCCAGTCAGAACCAGACCAGGGATCCAAAGCTACAACATCTATCAGTAGACAATCTGTCTGATCAGCGAGGGTACAGGAAAGACGTCTCCAGTCAGAACTACGAGGGGGACCCAGTGTCTCAACCACGGAAGTACCCCTCACATCTTGAATTGGGACGAGGGGCTACTACGTTGCCGTATAGCATTAGGCGTCCTATAGAAAGGTATCCGGGCTATGACACAGGAAGTTACAATAACAAGGCCAGTACCTTACCTCTTCCTTCAAGGGGTTTCAGTTATAGCACTGAACAGAAGCCAAGTAACATAGATACATATACCGTTGATAACGAACCAATGCCACATGCTGGTTACCCCTTGTCAAACAAACTCCCATTAACTATTAAACCAACTTCTCGAGGTATGTACCATACAAATAACGGCCATCTTCAGGAGCCATTGCCTATTGAAGATGATGGGCAATACTTTAAGCCAATAAGCCATAGATCCTCTGATACAGACTACGAAAGCACTCCCAGAAGTGCTCAACGTTCCTATTATTACCATGAAAATCCATATGAGGAACCTGAAAATGTCAGTCGTAAGTACGCACCTGGTGGCCAAGGACAGACAATCGGTTACGGGAAAATGCCCACTCACTATGGACCATCTTTCAGCTCAGAAAATCTATCGCAAAACTCACCCCGGCAACCGATCAGTAATGAGCACCTGCCAGCTAGCCACGGCGGCCATCACAACAATGACAGATTCATGAACCTAGGTTATGAAGGTGATTCTATGACTGTAACAGAAACTATGATTTAGTGCAAAGAAAGAAATGTTCTCTTCCAGAATTCGCACAGAATCATACATGCACTCTAGAATATGATTGATATGTGACAGTACTAGTGGCGTTCTAAATATACTTTATCCTATTGAAGAGTAAATGTCTCAAGACATCTCATTGTTACTGATCCATGCCCATCTTACATAGCAGGAGGCCTAGGCACGGTAGTCTGGTGGTAGGACGTCAGGCTCGTGACCGAAGGGTTGCAGGTTCAAGTCACGTCACAGCACTGCATTGTATCTTTGAACAATATACTTTACTCTGCTTGTTCCAGTCTACTCAGTTGTAAATGAGTACGTGGTTGGGCAGTGCTAGTATTGTTGAATGCTAGCTGAGAGCGCCGAAATGGCAGCACCGGCTGCATGCTCCCCATGGAGTTGAGAAAGATATTGGCTGGTTGCAAAGGCCCTATAACCACGGATAATAATTTGTGAATCGCTTTGAGACGACCTATGAACTAGGTTGTGATAAAGCGGTATATAAGAACCTCGAATAATTATTAATTATTATTTTGGTTAGAGGTTTATGATTTGTTGGATATGACTGACCCTAAATTGACCTAAACACATAGAAGGTATTTGAAATAATGACAAATGCTACACAGGGGTTATCAACTATTACAGGACACAAGCAGGTACAAAGTATCAGTTTTGTTTTCAGTTGGAAATGTTTAATTCTTACCAAAATTTCTAATGCTTGTCTCATAAGGCACCAAATTCTGAAAGGGCCAAAAAAAATGGATATTTTATGAAAAATATATGAATCATGACTGGACATTTAGTCATGTCCCACTGTTTCGCAAAGGTCAGTGTCACTTTAAGAGGTCAAAAGTAGAATTATTGTAATGCTTATCAGAGAATGAATCGATCAGGATTGAAATATTTCATACCAAGATTTGTGTAACTCACGATCAGGACCACAGCATAATGGTCAAAGTCAAAGAATCTTGTTTAAGTTCTAATCTGTGTAAGTCATATTTTTCTGATCTATTTTTTGAAACGAACTTATCAATAATGATACCCATGTGTATAAAATGATGATGGGGTTGCGATAACCTTGCTATATATAGATGTCTTCCAAAATCAAAAATTGTTTTTATATTAGAAATAGCAGTTTGTATGATTGTTGGAGAGAAACTAATATTTTTAATCTTATTTTTCAATATTATAATTATGTATCATTCATAATCGTATTTTGAAATATATTGGTGAATTTGTCTCCAATCACAATACATGTCAATTGCACCACCCATGCGTTGTAACCCAGTGGTGTCAACACCAGTTTAAGAAAGGTAGATATAATAATAATAATAAATAATAATATACAGCATTTATATAGCGCCCTATATAATTTGTAAAATTACTCTAAGGCGCTTTACAACATATGGATAATAGTAATGGTTATAATTGTGAAAACAAACAACAAAGGCTTGCAATCACTTTCATACATTTAACAAGCAATGTGCACATAATTGAACAAATAAAAGGGTGGTATTTACATGACGTCTTTGCAAAGATTCTAAAATGCAGACGTGAAGAGGTGAGTTTTTATGTCCCTCTTGAACTTGGCCAGGGTATTCGACTTCCTAATAGCAGATGGTAAGCTATTCCACAACGTAGCCGAAACCCTACCAAAGCATCTGTTTCCGTAGGTCACAGTACGAGATTTTGGGACACACAACAAAGATTCTGACTACGACCGCAGTGATCTTGACGGCTGATACAGGGTAACAAGTTCCTGTAGGTACTGAGGAGCTGTTCCATTCAGTGCCTTGTATGTGTATACCAGAATTTTGTACATTAATACATTATGTTATGCAAAACATAATTTTTGATTAAACGTAAGATTTGGAGGAAAGCATTTTCTATTCTAAGGATCATATTTTGATGTAAGAGGTTCAAAAAATCACACATTTATTATATTTTTCCCAGTGTTTTTTTTTTTACTTGCAATGCAGTTGTATGAGAATTTCCTTTTGTGTGTGTATATGATGTGATGGAAATTTAGATTTCTGTGTTTGTAACCTCAGGGATCAGGATGATTTTGAATTGCCCGTTTATGAGAGACAAGGATGTGTTTTGAATTTTATTTATCAACCCCAATGCCATGTGTGAGAACTGTTGTATCCTATTATGCCGTAAAATGTAATCCATTAGCTGAATATTTGGTTTACATGATTTTTAACCATTAATTTTCCATGCATGGGGCTATTTTTCCCCCATATACATTGTATTGAACGGCTTACTAAATATTTTTTCAACTGTAGAGTAGAATTAAAATACTACAATGGTCATTGTCCTTCTAAAACTGCGGTAATAGACTAAATTAGCCAACCTCCATCTAATTAAAGCTCTGAAAAGTAACATAATTAAATTGGTATGCTTGATATCTTTAAAAGAAAGAGTGAACGGGGGAAAAGTGGAGAACTGAAGAAAAAGCTAGAATGTAACTTAAGGATTAATCCTTTCATGTAAATCGTAAATTGTTGTCGATATGTTTTCTTATTTTTCTCTATATCAGTTTCCTTTAATAAGATTTAATTGAGTGATTGCATTATTTTTAGGTCACCTGAGCTTTGCTCAAGTGACCTATTCTAATCGCTTTTCGTCCGTCGTCGTCCATCGTCCGTCGTCCGTCTTCCGTCGTGCGTCGTGAGTAAACTTTTACATTTTCAACTTCTTCTCAAGAACCAGTGGATGGATTTTTTTCAAACTTGGTCAGAATCATCCTTGGTAGATGAGACTTCAAAATTGTAAAATTGGGATTCCTATCCCAACCCCTGGGGCCAGGGCGGGGCCCCAAAGGGAAAATTAATCAATATTTCAAAAATCTTCTTCTCCAGACTCAGAGGTACTACAGTGATTTTCTCTATGTGGAAAGAAAGA